TTAAATGTATAAAACATTGTAGTGCAGTGTCCCTAGTGTGGTATATTAAATGTATAAAATATTGTAGTGCAGTGTCCCTAGTGCAGTATATTAAATGTATAAAATATTGTAGTGCATTATCCCTAGTGTGGTATTTTGAATGTATAAAGGATTGTATTTCCGTATTGCTAGTGTTACCCTTACAGTTAATAGTTCACGAGAAGCCTTTGAAAACAACTAGGCGTGATAGTTCCCCCAATATTATTGTCAACATCCAGAATGTTTGGTCGTATATTGTTATGTATTATAAGCGTGTCTGTTATTAATATAACTCGTGTATTTTGGCGTTCGTAGCTTACCCACGTCGTGATTACAATCATGGTTAAGTGTGCTGTATAGTTGTATAGAATGTATGATAGTTTGTAGTTTCGTGCCTCAGGTATAATTTATAGTGGTATATGTTGTATGAGAGATGTTTGGGCAATATATCCTAGTGGACTAGAAATACGTTATTGTAATTTCTATACGTGTTTAGAAAATGGCAAATAGGAATCAAGAGAAGTATCCGGCCGAAAATGACTTCCCGAATTTGGATAAAACCACTGCGATGCTAAAAGATTGCATGCCTCTTGATGTGTATGCAAAGCTCCGTGACGTGTACACGCCTAGTGGCTTTACATTGGATCGTGCTATCCAATCATGTGTGGATCTCCCAACAACTGGTAAGTGAATTCACATAAATATTGAAAACACAACTCAGCTGTATGAACTAATTTTAATATTAATGTCTCATACTCATACTAATTTATCATGGAAACACTGTTCCTATAGCAAACATCTGAGTATTAATTTAATGAAACAATCAAATTCTCTAATTTGCATATACGCTGGTACAATAACCATCACTGCAGTGGTGTGCAGCAATTATTTTTTATGTCCTGCAAACGTAGTATTTGCTTAGTTACAAATTCACAATTGTTCAACGATTGTAAAATATAGCTATACTTTGAGCAAAAAAATCAGCAGACACTTAATCAGCTGAAAGGTTTATAATGTCTTTGTGCAATCTATCACTGAGGAACACAATACATGATTATACGATTAACTTATAATATTAACACATCATTCCTACATTGTTGGTGTCAACATAACATTTTTCTTTCGATCAGTGACAATTCGCAATTTGCGACAAAGGCATCGTACACTTAATAACATCATAACATGTATTAAAGCTTCTAAAATTACACTTTACGGTTTATTTAATCTATGGATAATGTTTACGTCACTATGTATAAATTAAATGTCAATGAGTTGTAAGTATTGCAATTTTATACTTTGGAGATACTTTCGAAGCAACGAGTTTTATCATATTTTTGGCCCGATGTTTTCGAATTTACTTGTTTTGTATGTGCCGGTCATTTAAGTGCGCCCTCGGTTCTTTTGTGTTTATAACTGGCTAATATTGTACAAAAACAACTAATCACCTGATCAGAGAGTGAAATTGACACCCCTGGCCATCGTACCAGTGATTTACTAGAATATCAGAAACCCTGTATGTCTCTTTTGGCATTTGTTTCTTGCAATGTACACGTGCTGCAATGAAAGGTTTAATACAGGTCTGTGCCCACGTGGTGTTGTGCTCATTTGCATAATGATACGGTTATAAGGTATCACAAAATAATGTGTATAAGTATGTGTATAAGTATAAAGAATGTCTTCATTGTTCACAAAGAACCAACATTGAGGAGACCATGTTTTCTTTTCTCTTTATATCAACGGTAGAACAAAAAATTGTACTACGTTTTTTGTTATTTTTCTTGATAGAAAAAATTGGTATTGTTGCTGGTGATGAAGAGTCGTATGCAGTGTTTGCTGAGGTATTTGATAACATAATTGAAAAGCGTCATGGCATTAAACTATCTGGTGAGTAGACTTGATTAATTACCTCCGCCATTTCGGTCGTAATGGTTTGTTTGTTAGCAATATTATTGAAAAGGTTATAGGTGGAATGTTTTGATTTTTAAAGGAGACGTGTATTCAAAGAAAACCAGTTTGTAGTTAATAACAGTTGTCAATCATCTTTTTGACGATAACACATTTCGTAACTTGTTGTGTTCATTTGTAGAGTGTATTAATAAGACAGACCTTGATCCTAAAAAGATAACAGGTTGTGTTTTGGACGAAAAATATGTTATTAGTTCAAGAGTACGCACAAGCCGAAATCTGCGCGGATACTGTCTTTCCCCATTCTGTTGTAGATCTGAGCGAAGAGAAGTGGAACGGATACTATCAGACGGTAAATTGTTATAAAACGACAATAAATGACATTAGTAGGCTCGTCCGACATCGTATACCAATACCCAGGCCTAAGTCGCTATAAATATATAAATAAAGATCATTTAACATTAAATAAGAAATTTTATTCATGTACATTATGTGAATATTTAATTTGCATGTGATATGTTTGATTTTGACATAAGCACTTTATCATATGCAATTAAATAAACCACCAAAACGTATTTAGTATTTTAGCAGTGGCTGGCTTCTGATTCGAGTATTGTTGTATTATATGTATTTTCAAGCATTGACCACAATCTCGAATGGCGAGTACCATCCACTGGTAACCATGGATGAATGCCTCCGTCAAACGTTGGTGAATGATCATTATCTGTTCAGGACGCCTACAACAGGTTTCCAATTGTCAGCCGGATGTGCTAGAGACTGGCCTGATGCTCGAGGCATTTGGTAATGATTATTTTTTATTGTCATACACATCCCTAGAATTATACTATGCACTAGTACATGTTTTTTTGACTGTACAGTATTACACATTACCGCTTTGGGTGGTGATGTTTATTTCACATTTCGAAATATTAAGATTACATTTAGCGAATAGATTATAAAACTGTTCCTGTGTCATCTGTTTCAATTTTCCGTCGCTGAAATGTAAGCATTAAAATCATAGCACATACGCCGTGTTAAAGCGATGGGCGCCATTTATTGAAATCAAACCCCAGTGATTACAGTAGAAGATCACAATTTACCGGGTCTTGGTCGAAATGCCCAATACGTCGCCTTCTACGCTGACGGTCGCATTTTATGTGACATTAGCCATGTGTCACTTTTCCCAAGTAATTGTGTCTAAACTAATATTTAGGTAAGATTTCTGGTTATATTTACAGAACAAAAAATATTCAAAATTAGAGCTACTGTCGCTTTAAAAAAAGTATGCTACAGCAAAAAGTGTTCAACTGACTTATAGATCCAGTAACACATAGGTGCTTTACTGATTCTCAATAACAGACAGTTAATTTACATCTGACATCGTTCCGGCCATCACAAAATCTTCGCCCCCACAGTCAAAAAAAGCTGCCGCCGCCTC